ACGAGTCAAGCCCGCTGGAGGCCCAAGTCCGGAGAACACATGACGTCGGGGGGCGGCTCGGCGAGTGTCGCAGAGTGACGGCGTCCAGGGCTCTGGCTTCGTTTCTGGTTCCGGTGCCGCAGTGCTTTCGCGAATGTTGGTGGTCCCCAAACGTGGTGGTGAGAACACCCGGTGGTGAGTATTGGGCGATTTGGGTTGTTTTCGAGCGCTGGCTGGTCCAGGAAACGCGAAACCTCGTGGCGACCGCGTGTCCCCAAACCCGGTGGTGACCCAGAATTATTTTTGGGGGGGAATCGGGGTCACCACCGGGTGTCTCACCACCTGGTTTGGAGACCACCAAGAATGGCGGATCTCGGAGGAGGCCGTCCTGCAGGCGAGGCTGCGGCAGGAGCGGCAGGACGTCGGGGGGGGGGGGGAAAGATGGTGCCGCTGCGGCCTCCGCTCGCCCCGGAAGGCTCTCCGTCGCCACGGCCGGAGAGTCCTCCTCCTCCCCCTCCTCCTCCTCCTCCTCCCCCTCCTCCTCCTCCTCCTCCTCCTCCTCCCTCCTCCTCCTCCTCCTCCTCCTCCTCCTCCTCCTCCTCCTCCTCCTCCTCCTCCTCCTCCTCCTCCTCCTCCTCCTCCTCCTCCTCCTCCTCCTCCTATTCGTGTAGGGGGTACACACGGGGGAGGAGCGAGGCGGGCCTGGTATTGTTGCCCTCTCCCCCCTCGCCCGAGACATGCTCGGAGAGGGCCTCTCGAGTCCCAAAGCCGTGCGGTGGCCCCGAATCCCCACCGACTCACCACGCGGTGTGGTCACCACACCGTCTGGGGGCATCCGATCGGAGCGCACGCCAGGAGAGGTCCGGGGAGAATACGGTAGGTTTGCGTCGTGTCGACCAGCGGCGACCCCAGCGCGGACGTTCAAGGTTGAACGCCGCCAGCGACCCAGAATCGATCGATGTTGAACGATCGGACGTTGCGGCAGCGGCCGATCGTTCAAGGTTGAACGATCCCTGCGGTGTCAAAAACCAACGCTGGGGTCGGCACGACACGAACCTGCCGTACGTGCGGTGGGGGCGTTCGTGAAGGGGTGTGCCCCAGGAGGCTCCGGGCCCCGGAGGGTCCCCTGCTCACATCTGGCAAGGTCGGCGGTGATGGCCATGGCCTCGGCTGGTGTTCCACTGGGCTGCCCTGGATTCCGTGTCCAGTCCTGGCTGCCCCGATACGCCCGTTTTGAAACGCAACACGTACCGCACACGTACGACGCTGCGGGTTGGCTCGGCACGTGTTGGTCCACGTTTGGGCGAACGTATCGCGCCAGACCTGCGTTTCCAGTCTACGTGTTGAGCTCAAGGCCAGCACGCTACGTGTTTGCGTGTTGGGCATCGGGGCAGCTAAGAGGCCAACAGTACCAGATCGGTCTCAGTACTTTTCTGACTCCCCAGAGGACAGGGAGGAGGCCCTGCGCGCGGCGCAAGCGCGGGCCAGGGCGGAGGCGGAGGAGAAGGCCAGGAGGAGACAGGAAGAAGAGGCCGCCCGGGCGCGCGCGGAGGAGCACGCCGAGCGGCGCCGGCAGGAGTCGAGGAACAGGCAAATGGTCGGGGGTGGACAGACCTCCTGCCTTGGCACGTCGATGAAGGAATTGGCCATGTTCGGTTCGCAGGAGGGCCTCGCGGCCGCCGTTGTTGCGGGTCCAGGTCCGTCGGTTGCGGTCCCAGGCCGTTTTCACTGAGGGGAGGTTTACCAAAGGGAGGTTTGTCCACCGCCGAAATGGCATAAAAGAAGTCGGAGGGCCGCGCGGATTTCTTGGATCGGGCGCCTCCGGCGCCGCCCCAAGGCGCTCTTCGCGTGCCCCTGCCTCTCTCCGCGCTGCTCTCTGCTCTTACCCCCTCTCCTCCCTGCCGCCCGCTTCCCTCTCCCTGCCTTTGATGCTGCTGTCCACTCCTCGCACTGTCCTTGTCTACCCACGCGTTGAAAACAGTAGACCAGCGCTGTGCTTCCTCACATGGGGCCACTCTCTGTACGCACGAATCGGCGCTGACGCGATCGACCACACAGCTGGGCATACATACTTGGCGGTCGATGGCCAGGGGGCAAGCAGCAACAAAAAGCGTGCTCCTCGAAGGAGGCTGCGGCGCGGAGGCGCAGGGAGGCCACGCAGAGGATGGCCCACGAGGGGGAGGAGCGCGAGCTGCTGGAGCGCACCGGCCTCTCCTGGAGGACGGGGGGGCACACCCTCCTCGACGGCGCCCCGCCGCCTGGGCGCGCGGCCGGCGAGGCGGCCTCCCCGGCCGAGCCGGCGGCGGCCGCGGCGGCGCCGAGCCCGCGGCCAGAGCCGCAGCCGCCCGCCGGCGCTGCGCCCTGTTGGCCCGCGGCCGGCGAGGCCTGCGCAGCGGAGCCGGCAGCCGCAGCGGCGGTGGGCGGGCCGCCAGAGCGCCCGCCGCCCGGCGGCGCGCGGCCGCCGCGCGAGCGCGCGGCCAGCCGGGCCTCCTCGCCAGAGCCGCCGGCCACGGGTGCGCCGGCCGTGGCGGCGGCCGCCCACGGGGACGGGCGCCCACCTGCGTCCAGCGCGTGCGCGCCCAGCGGCGGCACGTCGCCGCCCGAGCGCAGAGCCGGCGAGGCAGCCTGCCCAAGGCGCGCTGGAGCTCCGGGGGGGCCGCCAGGGCGCTCGGCGGCCACCTCCGAGGCCGAGGAGCTGCCGGCCGAGGAGCTGCCGGCTGCAGCCCAGGCCCGCCAGCCCGCCGACGGCGCACCGCCGCCGCGCGGGCACGAGAGCAGCGGGGTCTCGCCGGAGAGGCCGCCCACCGCGGCGGCCAGAGAACCGCCAGCCGCGGCTCGCGGGGAACCACCGAGCGCAGGGGCTGCGCTGAATCCGCGGGGCTGCCTCGCGGCGGCCTGCGCGGCGGAGGGTTTCAGGGAGAGCCTGGGCAAGCTGCGCGCCCAGCACGCCTGCGACGTGGCGGCGCAGGCGGCGGCGGGCGCGCTCCTGGCGTCGCGGTGCCGCGAGGCCGCCTCGCGGCTCGGCCTCGGCGGAGCCACCGCGGGCGCCGACCCGCGCGACGAGGACGAGGGCGACCGAGCAGCGCTGCAGCACGTCGAAGAGCTCCTGGGCATGCCGCGCGGCGCACTGCGCGGCCTCGGCCTCGGGAGCCCGCGGCCGTCGGCGCCGAGGAAGTGCTGGCCGGGCGCGGCCAGCGGGGCCGTGGCGGTCGCGGAGGCAGTGCGCGGCTTGCCGGAGGGCGGCCAGCTCTGGGAGCGCGCGGTGCAGCTGCGCGCGCGTGCCGCCTCTGGCGACCAGGCGGCTGCCACGTCCCTGCACGCCTCGGCGGGTGCGCTGGCCGCGCGGGCGTACGTGAAGGCGCTCGGCAACGCCGGCGCCGGCGGCGGCCAGGCCGCATTGGACCAGCTTCTCCAGGCGGTTCGCGCGGGCAGTGCCGACCCCTCGGCGGCTTCGCTGACCCAGGAAGCAGAGGAGCTTCTCCAGGCGCCTCTGAGCTTCCTGTGGGCGCCCGTCTTCGAGGAGCAGTGACGCCCCCAGCGCCGGCAGGCACAGCTTGCGCGCGACCTTTGCCTTCTCGCGCAACCTCGCAGCCACGCTGCGAATCTGGCCTCGCTTGCATCGTTCGCTGTGACCTGGCCGCCCACCTGTGTTTGGCGTAGGGCCTGCTGCAAAAGCCGTAGGCCTCGTAGGATAGAACGCATAAGTGTGACCTCTAGATCCCTGGCGCGGACTCAGCGTGCGTCCGTGCCTGCATCCGCGCATGCTGCTGCCGCTGCTTCTTGCTCATGCGGGGGTCCTTGCGGACGTCCAGTCAGAGGCCACGAACCTTTATCCGGCAACCCGCTCTGAATGGACCAAGCCAGCTCTTTCCATCGTTTGCTCCGAGGCCTTCAAGTGCTGAGCTTTCCTGTCACCAGGCGCGCTAACTGATGGGATGCCCTGCAGACCGGGACGCCTCCCGCCCGAATGCGCCATGGGGGGAGAAAGGGCCCCCAAAACGGGCCACACATACACACACACACACACACACACACACACACGTATAGGAACCAACAATACATAAGCACAAACTTTCCGAGGTCCACGCGGATTTCTTGGATCGGCGTTGGAGCCCCCCGGCGGCGCCTAAGGTGCCGCCCCTGGCGCGCTCGGCCCGCCAGGAAGAGGGTCCAGTGCGGATCCAACAAAGGAGCGCGGACCGCCGAAAGTGTATGTTCATCTGAGGCGTTGGATCGCCTTGCAGGATCCAAAAAAATGCCATCTCTTCCTCGGCGGAAACCGGCGGAAGCTGGCGGAAGCCGGCGGAAGTCACAATCAGCATCCCGAGAGACGGCAGGGTTTGGGGGTCAGGGTTTCAGGAGCCCGCCATACAGTATATGCAACGTGTCTGCTCCTTGACGTCGGGCGGTCCGATGAAACCAAAGAACTCTCAAGCTGTGGATGCGCAACTGCTCAATGCCTGGCTCTAGCTCGTGTCAAAGAGCGGCTTCTAAAGTTCGAGCATCGGCGGCTGCGGAGGCGCAACACATGCATGCATGTACACGTGCACTCTTGCAGCAGATCGTGCGGGGATGGATCGCAGTCATGCGCTGTGCTGGCACGGCAACGATGCTCCGAACAAGTGTGATAAAAACGCTGCGCTGCCGGCGCTCGGTGGGTCCCCCGCTTTTCGGGGGTGCCCTTTGCAAGGCGGCCGGCACGCGCGATACCCACGCGGAGCGAGGAGGCGAAGAGGAGAAGGAGGAAAAGGACGAGGAGGAGGAGGAGGAGGAGGAGGAGTACGAGGAGGAGGAGGAGGAGGAGGAGGAGGAGGAGGAGGAAGAGGAGGAGGAGGAGGAGGAGGAGCAGAGGAGGAGGAGGAGGAGCAGGAGGGAGGAGAGGAGGAGGAGGAGGAGGAGGAGGAGGAGGGAGGAGGGAGGGAGGGGAGGGAGGGAGAGGAGGAGGAGGAGGAGCGTCGTTGCGATGCCAGCCGCTGGCGGGAGGCCGGCCCGAACGAGGCGCGGGCCGCGCCGCCTGGTCTCTCCAGCCGCAGAGGCGCCGCCGCCGCCCCCGCGGGCGCGCGCGCGGGCGGCGGCGGGCCCATGGGGCGCCAGCCCTCGTCGTGGGCGTGGACGATGCTGGGCGTGGCGTGCACGGGCCCCATGGAGATCGGGGAGAAAATCAGGCTGGGAAAACACACACACACACACACAGACAGACACAGACACAATTAATCGTCGATCCCCCAGATAATATGGGCAAATATGGGAAGCGGGGGGGGAGACGAAAACCCAGAAAATATGCAAAAAAAAATAGGGAATCCTGTTATTTGCATCTGTTATGTATTTATTTGTGTGTCCCAGGGCCCCTTCAGAGAAGCACGGCCTCGAGGCTTGAGGGCCTCGGGCGTGTTTTCGTCGGTGCTCGGCGGCCTTCCCGCCCTCGGGGTGCCCTGCAGCAGCGGCGCCTCGCCGAGGGCGTTCCAGGGGTGCCCAGACCGTCCGGGGAGGGCCGCTGGAGACCCGAGCTATGACCCGAAAACCCGTCGGCGCCCAGGCCTCCAACGTTTTGAAACACTCGGTTCTGAGTTTCGCGCCGATTTCGGCCTCGGGGGGCCCTCGCTGGGCCCCAGGGGCGTCAGAAATTGATTCGGGGTGAAAAGCCGGCCCAGGGGGAAGGGTTGGGACTTCCGGGGAGCGCGCATTGAAAAAGCAGTGCATCGGATCTCTGGGAAGAGGAAACGCCCCTCCACCCCCACCTGCCCCCCCCTCCCCCCTTGGGGCCAGGCCAAAGAGCTGCGGCTCCTGCCTCGCAGAAAAAGAGCACGGAGAAGTATACACGGTAGGTTCGCGTCGTGTCGACCGGCGGCGACCCCGACGCCGGCGTTGAATTTTGAACGCCGCGGGCGACCCAGAACCGATCGATGTGGAACGATTTGGACGTTTCGCAAACGGCCGATCAAGGCGGAACGATCCCCGCGGTGTCAGAAACCAGCGCCGAAGTCGGCACGACACGAGACCCTGCCGCACTGCCCCATCTTCAGGAGAGGAAAGAACACACAGACACAATTAATCGTCGATCCCCAGGAAAAGATGGGAAAACATGGGAAGTGGGGGGGAAGACAGAAACCCCGAAAATATGGGAAAATATAGGAAATCTCTTTTTATTTGTGTGTGTGTGTATTTATTTGTGTGCCCTGGGGCCCCTTCACATCTCCACCTCCGCCGCCCCCGCCACTGGGACGGGGGGCCCGGCGGGGGGGGGGCGGGTGCTCTCGCCCGCTCCCGTGTGGAGAGCTTTCGGGGGCCCGACGACGACGAAGACGACGACGACGTCGCCAACGAAGACGACGACGAGGGAGGAGGGAGGACGACGACGGCGACAACGACGACAACGACGACAACGACGAGGGCGGAGGGAGGACGGCGACGACGCGAACGACGAAGAAGGACGCCGAAGCGAGAGGCTTGGCCAGGGGGGTCGGTGGAGGCGGTCCGCGGTCCGCCTGGCGCCCCCCGAGGAGCTGCAGTCCCTGGGGGCCGAGGCCGCGGAGGCTCCGCGGGGATCGTCGTCGTCGTCGTCGCCGCCGCCGTCGTCGCGAGGGAGACCCAGACAGCCGATGTCCAGATGGTTTCCACACTCGGGAGCGGAAAAGAGGAGGGTGATGACTAGGGGGGGGTGGATATCATGGCGCGGGCCATGATATCTCCCCAGATTTCGTGGCGCCTCTTCTTATTTCATTACGTCCCTGGCTCCCAACCTGGGCCGCGCACATGCCGCCGGCCATGATTTGCACCCCCCCCCCCCTCTTGGAAACCCCCCTCTTTGCCGCCCCCGACACACGGGGCCCACAGAAGTTCCGACGCTCTGCCCGATCTGGGGGCTTCCCTCCCGGGTCGTTTTCGTTTTCCTTGACGGCCCCCCGGTGAGGGCCCCCGGAGGCCGAGAACGTCTGAAAACGTTTCGTCGTCGTGATTTTTCGTCGTCGTCGTCGTCTCAAAACCTTTCGTCGTGCTCTTTGCTCGCGGCGCGAGCATGTCCGGGGGAGCGCAGGAGGAGAGGGACGGCACTGCGCACGCCCGATGGGTGCGTGGACGCTGGGTTGCCCAGTGCCCCCGCAGGCCGACGGGCTTCTGCCAGGGGATTAAATTTGGGGCCTCCCAGGCGGGGCCGAGCACAGTCCCCTGAGGTCCTGGCGTCGCATTCTTTTCGAGCTCGGCGTTTTCGAATGGTTTCGAGCCCCAGGACCCTCACAGATCGATCCATCTTGAAAAGTAGCGCAGGCAGATGGGGTCGCGGGCTCCGGTCGTGATGTCTCGCGATGCTGCTGTTTTTGTTCGGGACGTCGGATCTCGGGGATGGGGAACGAAGGGTTTTTTCTGGCAACGGCGGGCCTAGGACGCAAACAGGTTCCATGCATAAAATCGAAGGCACGGCCCGAAAACCCGAGCCCCTCCTGAGCCCGAAGCGGTCCTCACGTCAGCGTCTTGACTGTAGATGGGGCCAGAGGATCGCGCCGCATCGCCGATGCATCTGCGATGCGGCTCGATGTGGAGCCCCATTTTCCGCACGCCAGTGTCGCCGATGCACCGCCCGACGTCACTGACGCATCGTCGCTGCATCGGCGATGCGGCGCGATCCTCCGACCTCTTCTACCCAGACTCCATCTAGGAGGCCTCTAATGCCCGCAGGTCTGCGGGCCGCGGCCAGGTGAGGCCGTGCCTCTTGCCATGATTCCCTCCACGGGGCGCGCACCTGCCGCGGATGGCTGGCGGAGCGGGATCCTGGGCGAGGGAGGACCCTCACGTCCTGCTGGATCCAGTTCGCCGCAGATCAAAAAAGTTCGAGGTTCGTTGTAAGAACGGTTTTTTGAAGGCAGATCTGCCTTCAAAAAACCGTTCTTACAGAGTAGACCAGTCTCTCCTCCTTGCAGGTAGAGTGCGAATCCAGAGCCAATCTAGGCTCAAGCCTGATGAGCCGCTGATTGCGGCGAAAGCTAGCACCAGCTAAGAGAAGCAGCGAACCTGAAAAAAAGTGAGGTTCGTTGCTTTCGGACGTTCTCGTTGGCTCCCGGCGGGTCTCCAAGCCTCGGGATGCTTTTTCCAGCAGCTGCGCCCGGCCGAGGGCGCTCCGAGGACGCCCTGATCGCTCGGAAGGGCCGCCACGGGCCCGAGTGGTAGCCTGAGGACCAAGGAGAGGTTACGAAGCAAATGACGAGGAGGAGGAGGAGGAGGAAGAAGAAGAGGAGGAAGAGGAGGAGGAGGAGGAAGAGGCCCGAGCTATGACCCGAAGACCAGTTGGGGCGGTGGACCCATGCCTCCCCTCTCGCTGCGAAGGACTCACGAGGAGGAAGAGGAGGAGGAGGAGGAGGACGAGGAGGAGGAGGAGGAGAAGGAAGAGGAAGACGAGGAGGAGGAGGGGGAGGGGGAGGGGGAGGGGGATGAGGAGCAGGAGAAGGAGCAGATTTCTGACGATCTTCGGCTCTGGGGCTCCCTCTCCGAGCCCCTGGACCCTCCAAGAACTTAATCGGATGCAGAGCCGATCCCGGGGGCAGGGGCCCAGGCTTGATGGGCAAGGCTGTGAAAGATCACGACCTCAAGAACCCGGGGAGGCAGTCGACGAAATACACGCAAGCAAGGGTGGCCCTTCGCCCACAGTGGCTTGGAGTACGGGCCCACTGTTGGAGCCCCTGATCGCCGAACGCGGTGCGATAGCAGCGGCTTGCACGCTTGGGTCTGGCCGTCCCCCCTCCCCCCCGGCCTCGAAGCCGCGCACCGAAGGTCACGCTTGCACCCTGGCATCGCTCGGACGTGTGCATTTTTCCTTCGGCGAGGACCATCGAGGAGCATCCTTGATCATGTGGCGGAAGACCACACACGAAACCGAAAAAAACACAGGAAATGGACGTCCGAGCGATGGCCAGTGCACAGGGTCGCCCCTGCGCGCAGCCGATTCGGGAACGGCGGTGCTGGGGGTCGGCGCTGACAGGGGGTCAGCCGATCCCCTCCGGCTGGCCCTGGAGGCCGGGGTGGGGCCGAGCACCCCCTCGGCGCGCCTTCCTGCCACGCGCGTCGGGGCTGCGCGAAGCAACGGCGCGCTGCGACCCTGGGCTGCGCCAGAGCTGACAGCACCCGGAGGTTTTCCCAGGCGGCCCCGCACCAACGGTCACTCCCGTGTCCCACTCTGCTACTTTTTCCAAGCTCGGCGGTCGCCGCAGTGCAATAGAGAGCGTGGCAGAACTACTACCACGAGCGCTTGCAGCCTTTTCCCAAAATCAGTGCTTGATTATGTTTTGATCGACTGTTTCGGATCGTACGTTAGGCGTTAGGCTGCAGGCGCCGCCCTGGGGGCCTGTGAGCGGCCTCTCTGCTGCTGCCCACTGGTGGAGCAGCTTGAGTGAAATGGCAGCGGAGACGATGAGACGATAGGGTGACAGCCTAAAGCGAAATTTTGCCGTAACGGCGGTGCCGGCCGACGGGGCGAAAGCACAGAAGCGCGATTATCTGCACGCGGCCTCGGCGCAAAAGCAAAAACCCCAAATCTGTGGTAACGGCGGCGCCGGCGTCTGTGCACGCCAGAGGTTATAGGCATGCCTGCACGAAGATTAAATTTGATTTGATTTGTTTTGATTTGATTTGATTTGATTTGATCCCGGGGGCAGGGCCCAGGCCTGATGGGCAAGGCTGTGAAAGATCACGACCTCAAGAACCCGGGGAGGCAGTCGACGAAATACACGCAAGCAAGAGTGGCCCTTCGCCCACAGTCGCAAGAGTGGCCCTGCTGCCCACTGGTGGAGCAGCTTGAGTTTTCCCAGGCGGCCCCGCACCAACGGTCACTCCGGCCGCGCACCGGCGGTCCCTCTGGCCTCGGGCTGCTCGCGCGTGCAGCCGACAGCGGAGGAAGCGGCCGCCTGCCCGGACGTCTCTCGTCACTCCTCCTGGGCCTGTCTGGAGGCTCCTCGTCGCTACGGCCGGAGGCGGGAGAGCCGCCGTTGTCTCGATTTGTCCTCCTCCTCCTCCTCCTCTTCCTCCTCCTTCTCCTCCTCCTCCTCCTCCTTCTCCTCTTCCTCCCCCTCCTCCTCCTCCGCCTCCTCTCCTCCTTCCTCCTCCTCCTCCTCCTCCTCCTCCTCCTCCTCCTCCTCCTCCTCCTCCTCCTCCTCATCCTCCTCCTCCTCCTCCTCCTCCTCCTCCTCCTCTGCTGTCCCGGGGGTTGGGGCTCCTTCGCGCCCGGCCCAGGTTCGCTACACGTTGCATGGCCTTGGCTCCGTTGCAATCGAGATCGGTACGGAAAGAATATCGACGAAGACCGACAGCAGTCCCTGCCTTGAAGCTCGCTGAGGGGCAGCGAACGCGATCTGTGTTTCTGGGGCGACGGAGGAGAGGGCAATGCTTTTGTAGGGCAAGGGCAAGCATGAGCAGACCAATCGTCGGCAAGAGAAAACCGGCAATCAGAGTTTCTCGCGAAGGGCGGCTGTAAGGATTGCTGTTGGCCGATCAAGCGCGCCCGCCGAGCGCACGGGGATCTGGCCCTGGGAACAACGCTGCCCCCCCAGCGACCTTCAATCCCTGCCGATTCTCAAATCGGGTTTTGCTTAAGTGGTTCTTGCTCTAAGTTTCTTGATAAGCGTCGGGGGGGGGGCGTCATTCCCGCCGACACCCCCGTCGCGGGCAGCCACCGCGCGCCGAAGGCGCTCCGACCCCTGTCGTGGCGCGACCACGAGGCGAGGTTAACCCCCGTTGGGGGGCTACCCCCCGCCCCCCCCCCACGCTTTTTAACAAACGCAGAGTACGTGTGTGCGCGTTTGAAAACCCGTGGGTGGCAGGCTTGCGCCAGGCGGTTTCTTTTGAGTTCAGTGGTAAAGTTTCCCTGTTTCTGTTTGTCCTGGTTCCTTGCTGCCTTCTCCCTGGTCCCTGGTTTTTGTTATTGGGTCTTGGTTTCTTGGTTCGTTGGTCCAGGTTGCTTGGTTCCCTACTCTAATTTCCTATTTCCGTGATTCCCTTGGTCCTGGTTCCTTAGCTTCTTGGTTCCTGGGTCTTAGTTTCTACATCCCTTGGTCCATCGGTATTGGCTCCTTGCTCTTAGTCCCCGGGTTCTTTGGTCTTGGCTCTTGCTGCCTCGCCACGCCATGCAAAACGATATTAAGCAATATGCCAACACAATATGCCAATCAATGCGCCCACGCAATACGAAGGTCCGCCTCTACGGTCGGGGCGCTGAAGAAGGAGCACTTTTCGTTGGGGAGGGGCTCGGTGTCCCTTGACTTAAATCCTGATCGGGGTCGCGCCAAGTCATTATGAACATGACTCTCTGTCGGTGTCGCCGCGCAAGTTGGCAATTTAAAGCCGCCTGCCAAACAGCGGCCGCTTTCTGTGTTGGACAACACGTCGTGTTGGGCATCGTACCGATTCTGTCTGTACCCACTTCGGGCGTCCAAATGTCTGACTGGGGTAACGCTGACCTGGGTGAGCCCGTCCCCGAGAGAGGCGGAACCTGCCAGCTGCCCACCCAGCATTCGCCAATTGAGGGCCTCGCGTCCTTCTCCACGCCCCGTCTGGTGCGCACCACTCGCGGAGCCCCTTTGGCGGGTCGGGGACCCTGGGCTCGAGGAGAGGCTTGCCAGCCCCGACCCGCGCAGAACTCGCCAACTGAGGCCGAGGGCCCGGCTTCCTCTCCAGCGCCTCCCTCGCCATCCTCCGCGGAGAGGAGCCCACGGAGCCCGCCCCCCCCTTTTGCAGCCGGGGCTGCAGCGGCAGCAGCTGCGCGCCCCGTGGCGGCCCAGGGGCGGCGGCGGTGCACGGCCGGGCTGCGGCGTCGTGGGGCCCCGAAGCGAGCCCAGGGCTTTGGACGCCCGAAATGGGTACCGATTGTTTTTTTTTTGTGGTGCCCCCAGTTCCTCAGGTTTGCTCAGGTTCCTCAGGTTTGCTCAAATGCCGGCGTGCCGAATGCATGCTGCCAGTTCCTCAGGTTTGCTCAAATGCGTACCGAATACATGCTGTCGTGTCCAAGCCTGCCGTCGTGTCCAAGCCTGCCAAGCCAACCGAAATGGGTACCGAAAAAATGGATACAATGCCCAACAGCAAATGTTGTCCCAAACCAACAGGCCGCTGTTGGGCAGGCGGCCGTCTGTCTCAAATGGACACAGGCCGCGGCGGCGTGGGCAGCGAGTCTTGTTCAAAATGAACCGGAACCGCTGTTGGGCATTGTACCCATTCTGTCCGTACCCATGTCGTTCGTGCCGAAGGGAGACGCCCAGGCATCCTGCGAGGTGACCTTTTCAGTGCGCGGCCCCAGAGGTCCCGACCCCATCCCCCAGGGGCAGTGCGACCGAACGGTACAGTGGAGGCCCATGCCAAGAGGCATCCTGCTTGCCTCCAGGGTGCCCTGGCTTTTTCGGGCGTCGAGGGTTCTGCTGCGGAGGGCGTGGCGCTCCCACGCCAGAAATCGATGGGCGTCCTGGGGTTTCAGGGTTGGGCTCCTTGTGAAAGGTCCCTTGTGGACTGGCCTCCACTGTAAAGAAAGGCCTACGGGGGGTCGCGGCGCCCCACCCGGGAACAGACGATCAAAACAGATAAGTTGCCGGGCTGTCGAGGCCGCCGGGCCGCCAGGCCAGCGACCCCGACGAAAAATAAGCATCTGTGTGGTCGTCTTGGCCGGACTTGTTTTTCATCGTTTGGCCACATTGGTGCTGCGTCTGATGATGTTCCAGCCTGCTTTAGCCTTGACCGCCTGAAAGAAGTTCGAGCACCAGGACTGTACCGAAGGTGGAGGGTTTTCGCGTGTCGGGCACTGGGAAGCGATACTCGTTCGACATTGTTTCGATGCTCTTCTGGGTGCTCGAAATCGTGTCAGGGAGTTGGTCCTCGCGTACGACGGGAGCAACATAATCTCCGTCCAGCACTCATGTTTTAGAACCCTGGGGCAAAATGACGGGCCCCAGAGGCCGAAAAGTCTAGGAAGAGCGCCCACCTCGTGAAAACAGATCGTCGGAGAGCCGCGTGCGTGATACTCTCTCCCCCTCTCTCCGACTGTCCGCACCTTTGCGGGAGCCCCCGAGTTGCAGAGGTCTCGTGTGTGGACAGGCTGTCCGACGGGACGATCGACTCCGACGCCCCGAAGTGGGTCGACACCCCGGGCGGTCTGTACGGCTGTGCCGAGTACGAGGCGTTCGAGGCGGCGGGGCTTCAGTGGTGCTCTCTCCACGGCGACAGGGACAGCGGAACAGGCAGAGGCGACGCCTATTGCTGCATCTGCGGCGGCGGCTGCCCCAGCACTGGCTGCACGACGGTCATGGGGAAACCAAGATATACCGTTACCTCTACTTCCCGGACCTCGCCCGGGGTGCGTTCTGACCAGATTCGAAGCGAGTCCGGCGGTGGCGACGAGGACCTCCCAGGAGGCCCAGAAAGGCAAAAGCGGCGCAAGGGTACAGGCATCGGTATCTTTTGCTGAGGTCACGAGCACCTCGACAGCGTCAGCCACAGCCACCACGGGGACCACGACCACCGGGACCTCGACCACCGTGACCACCAGCACGTGCGCGCTGGGCTGCCGGACGGGCCACGCGAGCGCGTGCCCGGGCGCCGCGGTGGCGGTGCGGGATACCCACGGGGACCCCTGCACGTGGTACGACGAGGACGCCCTGGCGGTGGCGCAGTCGAGGGCCGCCACGGGGGCGCGAAGGTACTCGCGGCCCGCGACTCGCGGCTCCTCGTCCTCATCCTCTGCGTCCTCCCCGTCTCCCATGGGGGGGGCGCGAGGGCGCGAAGTGATTCGCGCTGCGCCCAGCGCGCAGCGCGAACGTAGCTGCCTTTGGCAGCATGGTTCTCGGAGGAGGGGAAGCCGAGATAACGGCGGCCCTCCTTGGCGGGTCTGCCTTGTTCGGGCCGCCCGGATGCTTCTCCTCGCCACGGCTGGATCCTCACCGAAACGGGTCAGCATGGACCCCAGGAGGGGTCGGGGGCACGATTTTGAGCGGGCTTGCTCTGGGCGGGAGCGCCGTTTATCTCAACTGGGCTTCCACCGAGGCATCGAGAGACAAAAGCTGTATTCTGATAAATCTTCGGAGCTCCGCGCGGGTATGTTGGGTCTGCGTCGTGCCCCCCTGGCGGCGCTTCCGATACCAGCGCCGATTCGAGACATCCACGCGGACCTCCGAAAGTTGATCACCCAAACAGTGTTTGCCAGGGCTGGACCTAAACGCTGTTTTGCTGGACTTCGGCTGTGTTTTGGGCTTCGTGTTGAGAGGGAGGTGAACGAACAACGAAACGATCAACAAAACGAAGAACAACGTTTAGGCCCAGCCCTGGCTGGAACCTAAACGAACGCAAACGCACAACAAAACGAACGCAAAACGAAAACCACAAAACGAACGCAAAACGAACAACAAAACGAACACAACACGAAAAACAACGAACACAAAACGAAAAACAACCACGAAACAAAAAAACGAAAACAACGAAAAACGAACACAAAGCTGATCCCCCGAACAGTGCTTGCACTTAGGGGCTCCTGCTCCTGCTCCGGTGAGCTCGGCCTGTCTGCCGGCCTGGCGGCTACGTTGCCGCCCCGTCGCCGCCTCATCGCCGCCCACATAGATCGCGCACCACAAATATTGCACCGCCTACATCCCCAGGCCGAAAGTGTTTTCCTCTTGGACCAAAACTATGGCAACATCAATGGATCCAATTGGATCCCTTTTTCGGGTGTGGGGCTCAAGAGGAAAAGAGGAAAATCTTCTGGCCTGCGGAAGTAGATTGCACAACCTATACTGGACCACACGCTGATTCTCGCTTCTAAGAAAAGAAATGCGTTCTACCACCCTCCCCCCCGGACTCATCCACTCACCAGGAAGCGATGTAAAACACATAATTACGATTATGACCCAATGTCCATCTTACTTGTGAGTGCATATCCCAGCCAAACCGGTATCGGTCCCCCCCGCCATCCTGTGCAACAAAATATGATACGCGCACACTCCTTTATCAAAAATCAAAAGTTTTCAAGAATCCCTTGCAAAAAAAACGGAACGAAGTGCACACGCGCGCGTCGTCGCGCGCAAGCCGAAATCCTTCAAAAACTTCCGGGTTCGGAAGGACTTCAAAATCGAATGTCCAGAAAGCACATAAAAGCACATGGTTTCGCAACGCGGATTTAAACATAACCAAAAACTGTGCGCGCTCTTGCGAATTCTTAAGAAAACCATAGGTTCTTCAACATGTTTGAGAAAATGCTAGCAGTTCGAAATCGTTCGGACGCCCTTGCGCGCGTGCCGTCGCGAGAATCCCTTGCAAAAACTGGGACGCAGTGCACACGCGCGTGTCGTCGCGCGCGCACGCCGAAATCCTTCAAAAACCGTTGGTTTCGGAAGGATTTCAAAATCGAATGGTCTATACATAGTATTTAAATAAATATATATATATATATATATTATATATATATATATATATATATATATATATGGCAGGGTTTCGCAACACGATTTTTCAACAAAAGCGTGCGCGCGTTCTTGCGTATTCTCAAGGAAACCATAAGTTTTTTAACATGTTCATGAAATGCTCCCGAACGGGTTTCGCGCGCGCGCGCATGTCGAAATCGTTCGAACGCCTTTGCGCGCGCGCTGGGGTGGCACGATCCGTGTCAAATAATACCATGCGAGACAGTCTCGCGCATCTGCCGCGCGCGCATTTCGAATTCCTTTCAAAACTTGAGAGAGCGTGATCCACCCCACCCCTCTTCCTCCAGAACCCCCCCCCCCCCCCGAAAATCCCCCCCCCGTGCTGGAAATTCCCCCCCCGCCTTCCCCCCGGCAAAACCCCCCTCTCCCCTAACCCCCCCCCCTCCGGAAACCGGGGGTCCTGAAAACCAGAGGAGGGTCACTACCGGTTCGAACCCCTCCCCCCCCTCCAGAAAACTGGGGGGGGACTACTGGTTCGAACCCCCCCCCCTCCAGAAAACTGAGGGGGGGTCACTGCCGGTTCGAACCCCCCCCCCGCCCCCCCACGCTCACCGCCAGCAAACGATTCCCGGGTCCCTACCACCGTCCGCACAACATCCGCCACTGTCCCCAGCACCACTGTCCTCACCACCACTGTCCCCACTGTTCCCACGACCGTCCCCACTGTCCCCACCAGTGCCCCCACCACTGTCGCACTGTCCCCACTGTCCCCACCACTGTTCCCACCACGGTCCCACTCTCCCCGCTTTCTCCACGGCCCCAACCATTGTCCCCACTGTCCCACCACTGTCCCCGCCGCTTTCCCACTGAGCTGTGCCACTGTTCCCACCACTGTCCCCACCACTGTCCCCACTGTACCTCTGTCCCATTGTCCCACCGCTGTCCTCGCCACCGCCCTCACCACTGCCCCCACCACCACTGTACCCTCCACTGTCCCACTGTTTCCACTACATGCCAACTGCCCCCACACTACTGCCCCCACCACCACCGTCCTCACCATTGTCCCATTGTCCCTACTGTTCCCACTATTGTCCCCGCTGTCCCCACCAGTGCCCCCACCAGTGTCTCACTGCCCCCACTCTCCCCACCATTGTCCCACTACGGTCCCGCTCTCCCACTTTCCCCACGGTCCCCACCACTGTCCCCACTATACCCACCACTGTCCCACTGTCCCCGCCGCTGTCCCACTGTGCTGTCCCACCGTCCCCACTGTCCCCATCACTGTCCCACTGTCCCTACCACTTTCCCCACTCTACTACTGTCCCACCACTGTCCTCACCACCGCCTTCACCACTGTCCCCACCACTACCGCCCCCACCACTGTCCCACTGTCCCCACCACTGTCCCGCTGTCCCCTCGCCACTGTCCCCACCACCACCGTCCCCACCACTGTCCGCACCACTGTCCCACTGTCCCCGCACCACTGTCCCCACCACCACCATTCCCACCACTGTCCCAGCATCCCCACCATTGTCCAACTGTCCTGAGGAGCGGGAATCGCTTGCCCTCGGCGAGGGGGGGGGTCGAACCGGTAGTGGCCTCCCCGGTTTTCGAGGGGGGGGTTCGAACGAGTAGTGACCCCATCCCCCTTTCATGATGGACTGGGGGGGGAAGGGTTCGAACCGGTAGTGACCCCACCCCCGGTTTTCGAGGGGGGGGAGGGGACGGGTTGCGAACCCCCAGTGACCCCCCTGGTTTTCCGCCAGCAGCGGTAGAACACGCTCTTTCCAAAACCTTCATCACCGACGCGAAGACGCCGTCATCGTCGTCGGCGTGATCGGCATCGGCACCGTCATCGCCACTAGCATCATCATCGTGTCCCCAGGGGTCCTCAGGATCATTATGTTTCGATCTTCAGCAGAAAACATCATTAAGTTCATGCATTCCGATCCTGATGAACAGCACTTGATGTTCATCATATTTCATTCACATCTATACTCATATCCAACCAAGAAACACCCAAACATGAAGGTGCCGATAGGGGTAAAGGTGATCAAGTCCAACAGTTACACGGATGGAGCGCGGCCCGTCTTTCATATCACAATTTCACTTGAGATGTTCTCGCAAGCAAGACCAGCTCATTATGTCCACGTGTTGTTCGGAGGTGTAGATGATGATTTAAGTGCTTCAGCGCGGGAGTTAAGGCTGTGTGAGGGCTTCCTGTTTGCTAGCATGCCCAATCGGCCTCCATGATGTGCCGTGCAACTCCTTGGGACCCCCTGCTCGTCTCGCAACCTCCTCCGAACCATCGCCGTTTTGTTTCAATTTGATGTCGCTAGTCAGGGCCCCCAGGGCGGCCTCTTCGCGAACAACGGACTTCGCCCGTCATGACGGAGGCTGCGGACGCTTCCCACCGCAGCAGATGTGGTTTCTCTAGGGAAAGTGCTGTCTGAATTCGCGACAGTGCCATTTTTTCAGGGGGGGAGAGGCAAGGACTGGACAACATGCAACAATATTCTGTCCCAGCGAGATATGTGGATGAAGGTGAGTCACGTTAGGCCTTCCCTCTCGTGGTCCATGTCTGAAGTGAGAAATGCCTTGGCCCTGGCGGTGACAGAGAAGCACGCCCCCTGGGAGAAATGGAGCACCGAGGAGGGGGGCGACTTCGATAAGAAGATGCCAGGCCGATTGAAGAGCATCGCCAGGGCCATCAAGCAGGCGAAGCTCAAGCCTTCGAACAAATCGGTAGCTAAACTCAGCTTGGCCGAGTCTGATGAAGCGCTTCAGGACACCCCCGCCGACTGCCACATGGGCACGAGGGATGCCGATTGCGAAGACGAGGACGAGGAGGACGATGGCGAGGAGATGCTAGGGGACGACCCCGATGGCAAGGAGTTGGGTGGCTCTGTCGAGGACGGGAACGACTCTGCTATGCTCGACGCGGCAGCCGAGGGAGCTGCACCAAACCAGGAGGCCCAGAAAGACGTCAACAAGCACCAGATGCGCGGAGAGGGACCCGCAGCCGAATCCACGATTTCGGCACCCAGCCCAGCTATATCGAGCACACCTACCGCTGCGGAGATGCCGCAGGTCCACGTCAACCATGGGGAGCCGTGCTATTACATCGGCGTCGACCGCGAACAGATGAAGGCATGGCGGAAGCTCGCACCTCACAAGGCCGCGACGTGGGCCAAGAAGATCATTCGAGACCCAGCGAAGTTAACACATGAACCAGTGGATGC